AGATATTAATATAAATATTGTTATAATTTATCGCTCGATTTTCACACGGCTCATCTAAATTTTGTGCATTATAATGATGATCTTTATATAATTAAATATTTTAATATTATATTACATTTTTCACAATCACAGTTAATTACCAGTTTGTAGTTTGTACTTTAAACAGTTAACATAAGTATAAAATTCCACCTTCCACACCGAACTATAATAAAACACAACATATTGACTATATACTGATCATACCCAACAACTATTTAGTGTTAACAGTTATATTGAATGCACCCACAATAATTTAATTTACTATTAGAAAACGCATACCAATCGGCAATAATAAGTCTCGACAAACTCTATGATTTATATGCGTATGAAAAAAATAAATTTTTTCCAGAATATTATCCGCTAATACAATGTATTATATTATTATATTAAAACAAATATCCAAATAGGTTATCTACGCATAACTCTTTGCAAAAAAAAAATCAATTTTTACCGTAGTCATTTTTCAAGATTTTATTTTTGTCGGTAGCGCAGWGGACCAACATATATTTATTGTCCTAAAAATATGAAAATATGAAAATAATTAAAATAAAATGTTATATACGTAAATAAAAAGTTCAAAAATAACGGACATGAACTGTAGAGAAGTGTGGATTAAGATAGTGATACCTATATATTAGAAAAATGCGTTATTTCCTTAGCTGGATTAAAACCACCTATATAGGTGTCTCGCGCGGAGTGTTTCATAATATTTGTCTTAAATTCATATTCAATCCCAAGCCCTAACACTTAAAACATATTACCTATATACATTTATAAGTATCACTTATGCTTAACAACATATTATTTATTGTAATTATGTGGAATAACTCTACAGACACTTAAAATTGTTATCAGCTACATTTGAAAACCGCAAAATCGATCATTTTGAATCCGGTTTTAGTTAAATTCAATTTATAGTTGCTGGTGTATAATGAATCATATATTATATACTTATACACGCATGAGTTTTTGTAGATTATAGACGCATTATTCGCAACACACCAAATCTTGTTCTAATCTTTTTCCCAAAAATTCCAACAGAATAAACAAATTTAAAATTCCTTAAATGTACCTATAATCCTTTATATTAAAAAAATAACATGTAAAATGCAGTATATATATGATTTAATACTTGATCGAGCAAAATTATGCATACTTCAATACATAGAATGATAGGCAATGATACTATGACAATATTATATAATATACGTATATTATATTATATTTATATATTTTTTTTTTTT